TTTTAGCTATTATTTGTGATCACTTTTTTAAGTGTGAATTAATAAGAATTTTAAAATGGCCATAACTATTTAAATATTGATTTTTCGGCGCTTTTAGCTATTATTTGTGATCACTTTTTTAATTGTGAATTAATCAATATTTTAAAATGGCCATATCTCCTTAAATATTGAGTTTTCGGCGTTTTTAGCTATTATTTGTGATCACGTTTTAAAGTGTGAATTAATCAATATTTTAAAATGGCCATAACTATTTAATTATTGAGTTTTCGGCGTTTTTAGCTATTATTTGTGATCACTTTTTTAAGTGTGAATTAATAAGAATTTTAAAATGGCCATAACTATTTAAATATTGATTTTTCGGCGCTTTTAGCTATTATTTGTGATCACTTTTTTAATTGTGAATTAATCAATATTTTAAAATGGCCATAACTCCTTAAATATTGAGTTTTCGGCGTTTTTAGCTATTATTTGTGATCACTTTTTTAATTGTGAATTAATCAATATTTTAAAATGGCCATAACTCCTTAAATATTCAGTTTTCGGCGTTTTTAGCTATTATTTGTGATCACTTTTTTAAGTGTGAATTAATAAATATTTTAAAATGGCCATAACTATTTAAATTTTGAGTTTTCGGCGTTTTTAGCTATTATTTGTGATCACTTTTTTAAGCGTGAATTAATCAATATTTTAAAATGGCCATAACTCCTTAAATATTGAGTTTTCGGCGTTTTTAGCTATTATTTGTGATCACTTTTTTAATTGTGAATTAATCAATATTTTAAAATGGCCATAACTCCGTAATTATTGAGTTTTCGGCGTTTTTAGCTATTATTTGTGATCACTTTATTAAGTGTGAATTAATAAAAATTTTAAAATGGCCATAACTCCTTAAATATTGAGTTTTCGGCATTTTTAGCTATTATTTGTGATCACTTTTTTAAGTGTGAATTAATAAGAATTTTAAAATGGCCATAACTATTTAAATATTGATTTTTCGGCGCTTTTAGCTATTATTTGTGATCACTTTTTTAATTGTGAATTAATCAATATTTTAAAATGGCCATATCTCCTTAAATATTGAGTTTTCGGCGTTTTTAGCTATTATTTGTGATCACTTTTTTACTTGTGAATTAATCAATATTTTAAAATGGCCATAACTATTTAATTATTGAGTTTTCGGCGTTTTTAGCTATTATTTGTGATCACTTTTTTGAGTGTGAATTAATTAATGTTTTAAAATGGCCATAACTCCTTAAATATTGAGTTTTGGGCATTTTTAGCTATTATTTGTGATCACTTTTTTAAGTGTGAATTAATAAGAATTTTCAAATGGCCATAATTCCTTAAATATAGAGTTTTCGGCATTTTTAGCTATTATTTGTGATCACTTTTTTAAGTGTGAATTAATAAGAATTTTAAAATGGCCATAACTCCTTAAATATTGAATTTTCGGCGTTTTTAGCTATTATTTGTGATCACTTTTTTAAGTGTGAATTAATAAGAATTTTAAAATGACCATAACTCTTTAAATATTGAGTTTTCGGCGTTTTTAGCTATTATTTGTGATCACTTTTTTAAGTGTGAATTAATAAGAATATTAAAATGGCCATAACTCCTTAAATATTGAGTTTTCGGTGTTTTTAGCTATTATTTGTGATCAATTTTTTAAGTGTGAATTAATAAGAATATTAAAATGGCCATAACTCCTTAAATATTGAGTTTTCGGTGTTTTTAGCTATTATTTGTGATCACTTTTTTAAGTGTGAATTAATAAGAATTTTAAAATGGCCATAACTCCTTAAATATTGAATTTTCGGCGTTTTTAGCTATTATTTGTGATCACTTTTTTAAGTGTGAATTAATAAGAATTTTAAAATGGCCATAACTCTTTAAATATTGAGTTTTCGGCGTTTTTAGCTATTATTTGTGATCACTTTTTTAAGTGTGAATTAATAAGAATATTAAAATGGCCATAACTCCTTAAATATTGAGTTTTCGGTGTTTTTAGCTATTATTTGTGATCAATTTTTTAAGTGTGAATTAATAAGAATATTAAAATGGCCATAACTCCTTAAATATTGAGTTTTCGGTGTTTTTAGCTATTATTTGTGATCACTTTTTTAAGTGTGAATTAATAAGAATTTTAAAATGGCCATAACTCCTTAAATATTGAATTTTCGGCGTTTTTAGCTATTATTTGTGATCACTTTTTTAAGTGTGAATTAATAAGAATTTTAAAATGGCCATAACTCTTTAAATATTGAGTTTTCGGCGTTTTTAGCTATTATTTGTGATCACTTTTTTAAGTGTGAATTAATAAGAATATTAAAATGGCCATAACTCCTTAAATATTGAGTTTTCGGTGTTTTTAGCTATTATTTGTGATCAATTTTTTAAGTGTGAATTAATAAGAATATTAAAATGGCCATAACTCCTTAAATATTGAGTTTTCGGTGTTTTTAGCTATTATTTGTGATCACTTTTTTGAGTGTGAATTAATTAATGTTTTAAAATGGCCATAACTCCTTAAATATTGAGTTTTGGGCATTTTTAGCTATTATTTGTGATCACTTTTTTAAGTGTGAATTAATAAGAATTTTCAAATGGCCATAATTCCTTAAATATAGAGTTTTCGGCATTTTTAGCTATTATTTGTGATCACTTTTTTAAGTGTGAATTAATAAGAATTTTAAAATGGCCATAACTCCTTAAATATTGAATTTTCGGCGTTTTTAGCTATTATTTGTGATCACTTTTTTAAGTGTGAATTAATAAGAATTTTAAAATGGCCATAATTCCTTAAATATAGAGTTTTCGGCATTTTTAGCTATTATTTGTGATCACTTTTTTAAGTGTGAATTAATAAGAATTTTAAAATGGCCATAACTCCTTAAATATTGAATTTTCGGCGTTTTTAGCTATTATTTGTGATCAATTTTTTAAGTGTGAATTAATCAATATTTTAAAATGGCCATAACTCCTTAAATATTGAGTTTTCGGCGTTTTTAGCTATTATTTGTGATCACTTTTTTAAGTGTGAATTAATAAGAATTTTAAAATGGCCATAATTCCTTAAATATAGAGTTTTCGGCATTTTTAGCTATTATTTGTGATCACTTTTTTAAGTGTGAATTAATAAGAATTTTAAAATGGCCATAACTCCTTAAATATTGAATTTTCGGCGTTTTTAGCTATTATTTGTGATCACTTTTTTAAGTGTGAATTAATAAGAATTTTAAAATGGCCATAACTCTTTAAATATTGAGTTTTCGGCGTTTTTAGCTATTATTTGTGATCACTTTTTTAAGTGTGAATTAATAAGAATATTAAAATGGCCATAACTCCTTAAATATTGAGTTTTCGGTGTTTTTAGCTATTATTTGTGAGCACTTTTTAAGTGTGAATTAACCAATATTTTAAAATGGCCATAACTCCTCAAATATTGAGTTTTCGGCGTTTTTAGCTATTATTTGTGATCACTTTTTTAAGAATGAAATAATCAATATTTTAAAATGGCCCTAACTCCTTAAGTATTAAGTTTGCGTAAAGAAGAAACGAAAGAGGAAACGAAATAGACACATAGTTCCTTTCGATGATCTGCATAGAATCACATTCTGAGTCGATTTATGCATGTCCGTTCGTCCGTCTGTCTGTCCATGTATTTTTGTAAACAAAGTACAGTTCGCATTTATTACCCGGTCCAGATGAAATTTCGCACAAATCACTTGTTTGGCCCAAGGACGAACCCTATTTAAATTGGAGATAATCGGTAAAAATTTAGATATAGCTCCCATATATATCTTCGTCCGATTTTCCTTTTATTGTGCACCAAACGTGTAATATCAGCCCGAATAGTATGGAATTTTGCACATACAACTAAATTAGGCCTGAAAATATGTGTGCCAAATTTGATCGAAATCGGTTCAGATTTAGCTATAGCTCCCATATATATTGTTCATCCGATTTATTATTTTTGTCCTCCGCAGCCGTAATATGCCCTCTGTAACAACAATATTTGGGGAAATATATAAAATACAGCTCAGAAATACATTTGCTAAATTTTATCGAGATCGGTTCAGATTTGGATATAGCTCCCATGTATAACTTCGTCCTATTTACCTTTTATTGTGCACCAAACGTTTAATATTTGTGCAAATGCGATGGAATTTGGCACTTACGATCGAATTGAGTCTAGAAGCTAGTATGCCAAATTTCGGTTCAGATATAGCTATAGCTCCCATATATATTGTTCATCCGATTTGTTGTATTTGTTACCCACAACCGTAATATGCACTCAGTAACAAGTAAAAAATACAGCTCAGAAATATCTTTAAGAAATTTTATAGAGATCGGTTCAGATTTGGATATAGCTCCCACATATATATTTTTATCCGATTGTAATGATTTGTGCATTAAACGTCTAATATTTGCCCAAATGGGTTGAAATTTGGCACATACGATCGAATTGAGTCTAGAAGCTAGTATGTCAAATTTGGTGAAGATCGGTTCAGATATAGCTATAGCTTCCATATATAATATTCATCCGATTTGTTATATTTGTTACCCACAACCGTAGTATGCACTCCGTAACAACGATATTCAGGGAAATATATCAAATACATCTCAGAAATATCTTTGCCAAATTTTATCGAGATCAGTTCAGATTTGGCTATAGCGCCCATATATATCTTTATCTGATTTCAAATTAATTGTGCACCGAATGGGCAATACAATTCCGAATTAAAAAGATACAAATGCTTCGGCTTATTTAGTCCTTTGAACTTTAAATTTTAATTATAATCATAGCGTGTATGATTGAATTCTCCCATAAAAGCTTTTAATTGTTATGTGGAGCTCTACTTAATTAGCAAAGTTGTGTAGGGTATCATAAAGTCGGCCCCGCTCGACTTTAGGACTTTCTTTACTGGTTTTATAAATTTGAAAATTTAGTTTATAGTATTTCTGAGAGTATAAAAAATAAAAACTAAAGTGGAAGGAACTCTCGGTGTAAAAAAAGATTTTATTCGTTGTTGTTGTTTGTTTGTATAGATAAATATAATTTAATAACATTTATTTAATAATCGTATATTAGCATAAAATACATACAGATAGATAGATATACACATATATAGACAGATATCGTTTATTTGGTTAATCATAAATTTACATTTTAGTATAGAACGCTTTCGCACGGGGGACATTACACATCAGGGGCCGGGCCAGGGATAATTTGGATATTATTTCAAATTTTTATTTTTTGTTGTTGATGTTGGTACTACATGGAGTAATGCAATTATACAAGTGTAAGTATGTATTTAAATAAAAAAATAAAATAAAATGAATAAAACAATTGTTTCTCTATTGTTTAGCACCGCAATTTATCATTCTGCACCATAATATTCAAAAACGTTTTGATTTACAATTCGTCGATTATTTTTGAGCGACATTATTAACTCAATAACTGTCAGTTATTGGTTTCTCACAACTTTGTAATATTTTTTTACAGAAAAAAATATAATTTTAAAAAATCACTTGGTAATAAAAAAAAACCGAAAAAAGAAAAAATTGTAAAAATTTGAGCTTAAAATTTGTGACACTATTTTCGTAAAACTAAAAACAAGTTTACAAACATTTGTAGCCGAACTGCTTTACTCGGCAGAACCAGTCAGGAGCACTGTATCTTCGGGTATGGGTTTTCGCTTATACGCCGGATTGGTGGCCAAATAAACCACCAAGCCACCAAAGACCACAAACAGAACACCGCAAAGGTTGACCATAACAGCAGAGCTTGGTAGTTGGGAATAACTGCTGCCCCTGCAAGGTATGAAACATAGGTTAAACAAAAAATACTTTTTGGGAACACAAAAAAAAAAATATTACTCACAATGCAAATATGGCCTTTTCCGTTATGCCCATACAAGCCGATGCAATCGACAGTACAAAACCAAAAAGTCCAAAATAGACATGCAACGGCATCAATGCAGCACGGAACGATTCCTTGGCACCCGGAGCCAAATATGCCGTAAAACCAATGACATATTGCAGAGAGAAAATCAGTACAGCAGACAGGCCCAGCCATGAGTGTAACGAATACATGTTCGGTATTGGAGTCTTGGCCAGATTATGAGAATCGAAAACAGTTTTCAAAGCGATCACAGTTAGTATAAAGGCGCCCATGTGCAGGGCGGCATGGGTAACTTTCAAAGTCTTTTTGCGCATTGTACGGAAGCCGCGATAAACCAAAATGGCTGAAAAACATTAATAAGAATATGAGATCATTAAAAACAGGGTGAAAGAAAATTGAAGAAGAATCTGGAAAAATATATATGGCCTCAACCAATGTCTTTCAACTAATCTGTAAATTCGAAACTTTAAGCTTACAAAAAGTTCTAAACTGGTACTAAACTTCTAAATTTGGTACCCAATTGTATCATGTAAACGGAAATTTGAAATTTGATATCAGAATCAACGTTTGAAGGCATGTTTGATATATGAAAACTTGAAAATCTTCACTAAGTGTGCGAACTGTACTAAATGGTACTAAATTCTGTACAAATTGGATTGGATTGGTGTAGAAATGTAAAATGTTGGTATTGAGGTCTCTGCTGGTGGGTAGCCTTAAAATAAATGGTTGGGTTTGAAAATACGTTCAACAAGGGAACAAAAGGTACTAAATTTGATATTGTACGGATGCTGGTATACATATTTAAAGGGATATTGCTTGAAATCTAAAATTCGACTTTAGGGTCACTGTTAGTGTGTATGATTATAATTTCTAGGTGGTTTTGGAAATATGTACTAAAAAGTACTAAATGGTACTAAATTTCGTATTTAGTTAAATTATTGAGTTGGAAATCTAAAATATGGCATTAGTATAAACTTGTGTGCGTATTACTTGATACACGGCTGGTGATTTGGAAATACGTACGAAAAAGTAAGAAAAGTACTAAAATGCATTAAATTTGGTACCATTTGAAATTGTGAGAATGGAAAGTGGTAAGATCTTAAAATTTGTTTTGAGTATCAAAATTCCTCGAAATGGGGTCGATGTAAGGAGGTGGTCTTGGAAATGTGTACTAAGTGCAAGAATTGTACGAAAATTTGGCACAATTCCGTTTTGGGTGAACAGAAGAAGCTGGTAATTTGAAATGTAGGTATTGTAGTGCCTGTTGGTGGTAGTTTTGTGATAAAGAAGAGGTTTCGGAAATGTGTTCTACAAGTGCACAAAAAGATAGTAAATAGTACTTAATTTGGTACTGGGTGAACAGATAGTGTTTACAATCTGAAATTTTGTATTAGGGTCGCCGTTCATGTGTAATCTGGACATATTTAATTGGTGTCGAAAATTTGCTCTAAAATTGTACGAAAAGTACTGAATGGAACTTTATTAGGTATTGAGTGAAGGGATGGACAGAGAATTCTGAAATTTAATTTTTAGATTACTGATGGAATTTGTGTTTGAGATTTGTCGGTGGTTCGAAAATGCGTACTATAGTATTACGAAAAGTACTAAGTAGTACAAAATTGGTTATTGGATGAAGAAATTGTGCTGGAATCCCGAAATTTGATGTTGGTATTTGGAATTGAGATATGGAGTTGGTATTTGGTGAAGGAATAGAGCTGAAATCTCGAAGTTTGATATTGAGGTATCTGTTGGTATCTGGCTGTTGGTATGTCTACTATAGTTGTACGAAAGGTACTAAATAGTTCAAAATTTGGTATTGGGTGAAGGAATAGAGCTGAGATCCCAAAGTTTGATATTGATGTCTCTGTTGGTATCTGGAATCGAGACATTGAAATGCTTTTGGAAATATCTACAATAATTGTACGAAACGTACTAAATTTGTTATTAGGCGAAGGAATGTAGCTGAAATCCCGAAATTTGATATTGAGGTCTCTGTTGGTATCTGCAATTGAGATATGATATTGGTTTTGGAAATGTCTACTATAGTTGTACGAAAGGTACTAAATAGTTCTAAATTTGGTATTGGGTGAAGGAATAGAGCTAAGATCCCGAAGTTTGATATTGAGGTCTCTGTTGGTATCTGGAATCGAGATATTGAAATAGTTTTGGAAATGTCTACACTAATTGTTCAAAAAGCACTAACGGTACTAAGTTGAGTATTGGGCGAAGGAATGTAGCTTAAATCCCGAAATTTGATATTGAGGTCTCTGTTGGTATCTGCAATTAAGATATGGAGGGGGTTTTACAAAGGGTTACTATAATTAACAAAAAGTACTGAATGTTACTAAATTGGGTATTGGGCGAAGGAATGTAGCTAAAATCCCTAAACTTGATATTGAGGTCTCTGTTGGTCAAATCAAGCGGGAGTTTCGCAAATGCGTACTATAATTGTTCGAAAAGTACTTCGTTGTTTTCCTTGCGTTTAGATAAGATTTAGACTCTTTATGTTTTCTCGGACCTATAGCAAAATTTTAGGACAAATAATTGTGTAGAATATTTAGTCTTGCTACGATTACGGTTGAGGTAGTTTTTTACCATAAATTAAAAAAAAAACTACCAAAAACACCCCTTCGTTGCTCGTTTGAGGGTACAAGTTTTTGACCAATATATTCACTCTTATTTTTATCTGCAATATTGGCGAAGACACAATGTACCTAAAATGCAAGGATTCCGTGGAATCTTAATCTGAACATTTTCAAAAGTGTTGAAGAAGAGGGAACTTGCCCCACCCTCTCTATTTTGTTTACTTTTCAATGTAAACTTTCAAAATGCCGATACACAAATCTTCGTTTATTTCCTGGCGTTTAGATAAGATTTAGAGTTTTTATGTCTTCTGAGACTTAAAATAGAATTTTATGACAAATAATCTTGCGGAATATTTTGACTTGTTACGATCCCGTTTTAAAAAAAGTTTTTAACCATAATTCAAAAAAAAAAGTACCCAAAAGACACCTTCGTTGCTCGCTTGAGGCTTAAAATTTTCGATCAATATATTCCCCTTATTTTAGGATTTAGGGATTCCGAGGAATCTTAATCTGAAAATTTCGGAAATCGGCTCAGATATAGCTATAGCTACCATCGTCGATTCAGAATTAGATATGCCTCCCCTATTTTAGTTCCCTCTGAAACCAAACTATAACCGCTCTAAAGCCAAATGTTGATAGGTGGTATGGTCTACTTCAATTCAATTATTTTGTTACGGGAGCTTTACTAAACATGCATAGTGATGTAGGGTACCATATAGTCGGCCCCGCCCGACATTAGATTTTTCCTTACTGTTTTTTTACCCTCCACCTTAGTATGGAGGGTATATGAAGTTTGTCATTCCGTTTGTAACACCTCGAAATATACATTTTAGACCCCACAAAGTATATATATTCTTGGTCAGTATAAAATTTTATGTCGATTTAGCGATGTCCGTCCGCCTGTGCGTCTGTGGAAATCACTCTAGCTTCCGAATGAATTAAAGTAAATTGATAAAATTTTACTCAAATGTATGTTAGCAGGACTTTTGGTATTGGTATGCAGGACTTTTGGTATTGAAAATGGGCCATGTAGATCCACGTTTTGGTATAGCCCCCATATTACGGTACCTCTCGATATTCGGTATTTTGTTGATTTTAGCGACAATATTCACCGGAATTGTTTCAAATTTGGGATTTGAAGTTCGTAATGCATGCTTCAGCCTATGACAGGAGATTGTCTGTGTAGGTCCACGTTTTCGTATAGCCCCCATATAACGGTACCCCCCGATATTCGGTATTTTGATGATTTTAGCGGCATTATTCACCGGAATTGTTTCAAATTTTGTATTTGAAGTTCGTAATGGATACTACAGCCTATGACAGAAAATTGTCTGTGCAGGTCCACGTCTTCGTATAGCCCCCATATAACGGTACCTCCCGATATTCGGTTATTTGACGAGTTTAGGTGCAATACCCACCGAAATTGTTTGAGATGTCGTATTTGAAGTTCGTAATGGATGCTAGAGCCTGGACCAGCCTATGCTGGTCCATGTCTTCGCACAGCTCCGATATAACGGTACCTCCCTATATACGATATTTTGATGATTTTAGCTACATTATTCACCGTTTATTTCAAGTTTCGAATTTAAATATGGTAATGGCTTATGACAAACAATGCCTATGTAGGTCCACGTAGTATAGATCCCAATATAACGGCTATATTCGGTATTTTTAAAATTTTAACAGAATTTTTTAAAGATTTTATTTTTTGAAAATTTCCAAATTTCTACCAAATGGTGGAAGGAATTCAAAGTTCGGCCCAGCCGAACTTACAGCTTTTTTAATAGTTTTATACTTAAAATGTAGAGATTCCGAGTAATCTTAATCTGAAAATTTCGGAAATCGGTTCAGATATAGCTGTAGCTCCCATCATCGATTCAGAATTGGATATGCCTCCCCTATTTTAGTTCCCTCTGAAACCAAACTATAACTGCTCTAAAGCCAAATGTTGATAGGTGGTATGATCTACTTCAATTAAATTCTTTTGTTACGGGAGCTTTACTAAATACGCATATGGTGCAGGGCGCGACTTTTGACTTTTCCTTACTGTTTTTTTTTTTTTTTTTTTGATAACAGAACAGCATTGCATCGTTCCCCAACAACAATCGAATCAAACGGCAAGTGTGACTAAGCAAGCAACTCACTTACGGATTGCGGAAGAAATTGCTTATTCTGTCAACGAAGATGAAAGTATTGGAAGCGGCGCCTGCTTAAATTCCATGCACATTGTTTCCTCTTTAGTCAGCCCACATTGGCATTCCATTCCACATGGACTGGCTTTAGCCAAAAAATTAAGAGCCTCTTAACCAAACATTTGGTTGTCTAAAACTTTTAGTTTCATTCTGCTGCACAAAAGGGGCATGTGTCCAAATGAGTTCAGAATCAGTCTGGATTTGTTGTTAACGTTTCGGTAATAATATTTGGCATGCAAAGCAGCAACAGCAACAATGACCAACCAACCGAATCCCATCAAAATCAATAACGACAATAAATAAGAATTTAACAAAGCAAACAATTGCACTCATACAGAGATATACATACACACACACATACACACACACACATACATACATGCATATAAATATGTATTTGGTTGGAGTAGCTGTTGTGTCAAACTCAAATGACACACCGGCCGCATACTAATCACATTAGGCAGACGACAGTCAGTCAGTCCGTCAGTCAATGGCAAAGCAATGCGCAAAATATCTATGCCATTCAAAGTTGCACAACATGTATGTATATGTATTTATACTCTGATGGCGGCGGCTGCACCCTAACGTCACCTACGAAACGTTCCAGTCACAGAAATACAGACAGACAGACCTTGCACACCTTTTCTGCTCGCACAACATCATGGAATAAACGTAGCATCACAGATCAACAAACAAAAACAAATCTGAACTAAGTGTAGGACATTTTACAAAAACGAAACACGTTCGTTTGGAACAACCACAACAACAACATTAGCATGAGATGACAAGTGCAATCAACTTCAACTCTATCTTCCCTGCCCATCTAAATCCATACCTACTTACATACATACATACATACATACATACATACATACATCCATACATGTGTGTACACAGTTTTGAGTCGTTCATCATCATTTTTCTACTCACCATTGCCGTACAAGAAGATCAAACCGATCGTCATTAGCAGTGGGTGCCAGTTAAACTCCAATGCGGGATTGTCGGTGCCACCCACACCGCCCATGTGCACACCAACCCAGCTACCCATCAATACAATCATTGTCAGACCACACAGCTGCGTCAGAACGTACAAAACTTTGAAATTGGCCATTGCTGGATCGGTATCCATTTTATCTGAAATTAACAAAAAAAAGATGAAGAAATGAATTGAAACAAGTAAAAAAACATTAAGTTCGGCTGGGCCGAATACCCTACACCTTAAGGTAATGGAAACATTAGAACCAATTATGACCCACAAATACCAATTTTTAGACATATTCGTGGGAAAATGTGGCAAAAATCATCAAAATACTGAATGTCGGAAGGTACCGCTATATAGGGCTATACAAAAACGTGGACCTATGTTTCGCCACACGAACAAGGACGAATTATGACCTACAAATATCAATTTTCAGACAAATCCGTGAAAGAGTGTGGCAAAAATCATTAAAATACCGAATATCGGGAGGTACCGTTATATGGGGGCTATACCAAAACGTGGACCGATATATCTCATTTTCAATACCAACCATCCTAGACACAATACAAATTATTCTGGTAAATTTTGTCGCTCTATGTCAAATAATGTGGCCTGCATCGTGATTTCAACAGACAGACGGACTGACAGACAGACAGACAGACGGACATCGTTAAATCGACTTAGAATTTTATGCTGATTATGAATATATATACCACATGGTCTACGACGAATATTTAAGGATGTTACAAACGGAATGACAAAGTTAATATACCCTCCTTTCCAATGTGGAGGTTATAAAAATATATATATAATATCAATAGAAGAAGTTTAAAAAATCTTTCAAGGATCCTTAATACATAGGATCAAATTCCAGAAAATCTCTAATGAGGCTTTCCAAAAGATCTTCAATAGGCAGAAGGTAGGTTTCTACAGAATACAGAAGAACATAATTAAAATTCTAAAAGACCTATTTTACAAAAAAAAAACCAGTAAGGAAAAGTCAAAAGTCGGGCGTGGCCAACTATATGATACCCTACACCACTATGCATATTTAGTTTTAGAGCTCCCGTAACAAAAGAATTTACCGTTATATCGGAGCTGTGCGAAGACCTGGACCAGCATAGACAATTTTCTGTCACAGGCCGTAGCATCCATTACGAACTTCAAATACGACATTTCAAACAATTTCGGTGGGTATTGTACCTAAACTCGTCAAAATACCCAATATCCGGAGGTACCGTTATATGGGGCCTATACGAAGACCTGGACCTGCATACACAATTTTCTGTCACAGACTGTAGTTCCCATTACGAGCTCTAAATACGAAATTTGAAACAATTCCGGTGAATAATGACGCTAAAATCAAAATACCGAATATAGGGAGGTATCGTTATATGGGGCTATACGAAGACGGGGAACTGCACGGACAATTTCCTGTCTTAGACTTATTCATTTATTCTTACGAACTTCAAATACCAAAATTGAAGCAATTCCGGTGAATAATGTCGCTAAAATAATCAAAATACCGAATATCTGGAGATACCGTTATATGGGGGCTGTACGAAGACGTGGACCTGCACAAACAATTTTCTGTCTAAGGCTGTAGTATCCATTACGAACTTCAAATACCAAATTTGAAATAATTTCGGTAAATAATGTCGCTAAAATCATCAAAATATCGAATATTGGGAGGTACCGTTATATGGGGGCTATACGAAGACGTGGACCTGCACAGACAATTTTCTGCCTTAAGCTGTAGTATCTATTTCGAACTTCAAACACTAAATTTTCCATTTTCAATACCAAAAGTCCTGCAGACATAACATACATTTGAGTAAAATGTTATCAATCTACTTCAATTCGTTCGGAAGCTAGAGTGATTTCCACAGACGGACAGACGGATAGAGGGACGGACATCGCTAAATCGAATTAGAATTTTACGCTGATGAAGAATATATATACTTTGTTGGGTCTGACATGAGTATTTCGAGGAGTTACAAACGGAATGACAAAGTTAATATACCCTCCATAGTATGGTGGAGGGTATAAAAATAAACACGACATCGAAAACAATGGCTAGATGTATTTTTAAAATGTGTTTTGCATAAACAAATAAATTGCGTTTTATTAATAACAACAAATAAGTGATTTTTTCAAGCCACTTAAAATGGTTGTAAAACAAAAACAAACAAAAAATAAATTCAATATCGAAATTGAAAAATATAAAATCATATTAACAAAAACAATGTATTTTTGTTGTTAATATAAGGCAAACACGAACCAAAAAAACAAAACCTCCCAAAACATAATCGCACACACGCCACCGGCAAGCAAACATCTTCGTCCATATCGATTCCACAAAGCAGACAAATGTTTGGAATGCCAAATATTTGAACATCGCCAACCAACCCACAATGGTGGGGCAAGGGCAAGTCAGGCAATGAACACACACACACATTCATGTGATTCTTCTTAGGCATACATACATACATACATATTTATTTATTTATTTATTAACCACATCCATTTGTTTAATTCAATTGCAATTTAATCTAAACCAATAACCTGGTATGGACTGGCACCCAATGTATTTTGAATAGAGTTACGTCAAAATAAACAATATTCACGTTTCTGACAGCTCCATTGCCATGTGAAAAGAAATCATTTTAATATGACACAGGAGATTTGTAAGTACCTCTGAAAAAAAAAAAAACTAGGCATAAAAAGTGAGAGAGTAAAAAAAATGTCTTCAAATGTTCCAATCGTGAGAAATTGGTGCGTGGACGTATGTTGACCATCCTCCGCAAGAATAACTGGTGTGTACGATAACTCAATATTTTGTACAAAATATCCCATAAGTCCAATAAGTAAGAGCGAGTGGGAAGAGATAAGTGAAACTTTGCGAATTCCAACCGTAAAAATTATCTAGCTGATGATTCTGGTTCTGTGGCTAATGTGAAAATGTTACAAAATTTTGTCAATACTTTAAATATTTTAATAAATAAATATTTAATACCAACAAATAACCCTATTAACAGTCAGCATTTTGAATAATCGTAACTCAAGCCGATATATATTTAAACTGGCAACTTTCCGAAAATTTGTCATTAAAAATTCCACTTTAAATTTTAAATTCGCTCTATGAGTTCGAATTTGGCTTTTTTTTAGCCTTCAACACTATGTGTTGGAGGTATTATAAATTCGATTGGGCCAAAAATTATGTGATAGCTCGAAATATTGGTTTCCCACATAGGAATATTCGTTCGGAATATTCCATATTCGACGGACCCATGTTTTTTTTTTTAAATCAAAGAAAAAAATAAAAATTTGGCGGTTGACAATGTTAATCATTTAATTAGTTCCAAGTAGATTTGTTTACATCAATTTTTGAATATGATATCTCTCAAATGGCCGCCTCTGGCGTTGATGACGTATTGTGCCCTTTTTGCTGCATTTTCATCGTTTTTGCCAACATTTCGACCGGAATTGCGGCTATTTCTTCACGAATGTTGTTCTTGAGCTCTTCTACGGTCCTTGGCTTGTTAACGTAAACCTTTGACTTCAAATATCGCCACAAGAAGAAGTCAGGCGGCGTCAAATCGGGCGAACGCGGTAGCCAGTCCAAATCACCACTGTTCGACATCAAACGGCCCGGAAACAAATTCTTCGGAAAATCGATTGTTATGCGACTTGTGTGCAGTGGAGCGCCGTCTTGCTGAAACCAGAACTCCTCATACGCTTTCGACGAATAATTGGCATCACAAAATTAGTCATCATGTCGCGATAACGCTCCTGATTGATGGTAACAGCATGGCCATTTTCATTTTGGAAGAAAAACGGCCCAATGAACGTTTTCGCACTAACGCCGCACCAAACTGTGACTTTTTCGTCATGAAGAGGCACTTCTTCAATCTCCTGAGGATTTTCAGTGGCGTAAAAACGGCAATTTTGCTTATTTACGGTCCCATTCAATGTGAAATGGGCTTCATCGGACATGATAATTTTGTTCCAAAATTGCTCGTCATCTTCGGCCATTTCGATGACTCGTTGGGCCCATTCCAATCGACGAGGCTTGTCCGCAGGCAACATTCTTTGCGTCAATTGAATTTTGTACGGGAACAAATGCAAATCAATGCGAATAATCCGTTCATGGTAAAAATCTGCTTGGACTGACGCTTCAAATGCGGTATGTCATTAAGCGATGTGACATCTCTGTCAAAAGTTATGGCGTTGCCAGATGGGTCCATCGAATATGGGCAACCCTGTATTTATGGATCTTCCTATCTCGCCTATCTGAGTCGATCTAGCTATGTATGTCCGTCTGTCCATGTTAATTTGTAATTACGCGACAGGTCGCATTTATGGCCCGATTGAAAATGGAGGTGGGGTTATGGTCAGAATAGAAGCCTATTGCTTTAGGAGATGATCGCAAAATATTAAGGGGTTAAAATGGACCAAAAATTCAAAAAATTCTGATTTTACAGTTGCTCTACAGGTCGCAATTATAGACCAATCGTCGCGGAAGTTAGGATGGGGCTAGAGCTTAGGGCTGGGTAGAAGCCTTCCAATTTGGATATTTAGTGGGTCATCGCACAATATTTAGTGGGTGAAATAGACCATAACATTTGTGGTAAATAAAAGTCAAGTTTTCCATTAAACTGCTAATATTTTTTATCCCTGCGAAATGACAAATAACGATAAGGTCAATTCTGACCCTTATGAAGATGCTGATAATAAATACAAGGTAGGATGAAAAAACTGCAATCAACTTCAGACCGCTGTCACTTCTAAGCCAATCGTCCGACAGCTCTTAAAATTCTCCCAGTGACAGCTCAATATTTATTGTTACAAGCGTACAGAAGCATTTTGTTGAGAATTTTCCAGAAAAAAGTTTTTCGGGATGGAATCCAAGCGTGATAGTGTGATATCTTTATATTTGGCTGGAAAACCACAAGTGGCTATCGATAGAGCACGCCAGCATTTATTCACATTTAAATCTTTTGTGTCTCGTACCATCGCTCGTTACCGTGATAATAGTTAGGTTACTAGCGTAACCCGACGTCAAGGAAGTGGACGGAAGAAAACAGCAACATCAGCTGAAATGGTTCCAAAAGTAAAGAAGCGACTTGATCGAAACCCGCGCCGCAGTGATCGA